TATATATATATACATAATAATAATTAGTTTTTATAGTTCTAAAACTATGACGATGCATTGCCAATTATTATATTTTATTATATTATTATCGATGACAATAATCAAATCGAATACATCATTTCTATATAATACAAATGATAATTCAAAAATAGTTTTCGATTGTATTGATTCGCATGTAATTGATGATCGTGATCCAAATCAACATGTTTTGTTTCGAACAAATCATCTAGTACCTTATTGTCGACGTCCATTATCAATTGATCCTATTAATAAAATACAAGGACATATAGAAAATACATACACATTTAAAAGCTTAATGTTACAAGGAATTACGAGTGACGATCTTTTTCAATGGTCAGTATCAATTGATATGATTGAACTATATTCTATATATCTCATTACAAATGATGCAAAATTTGGTGAATATATTTTTAATAATTGTTCATCATTATGGTTTGGTTCGAATTGTCAATATACATTTAATTTAAATGTTTTTATTGAATCATTTGGGGATTTTGTAAAATCTTCATTCAAAGCTCGTAAAGATTATATGGGAAAAGTTTTGATACATACTTGTTATCCTCATTTATCTGGATGTTATCGTGGTCCTGAACCGATGTGTTTAGATTGGCGTGAAATATGCGATGGAAAAATCGATTGTATTGGAGAGAAATTTGGTATAGATGAACAATATTGTAATGAACTTGAACTAAATGAATGTAAAGAAGATGAATATCGATGTCATAATGGAGCACAATGTATTCCGCTTGAATTCTTTCGTGATAGTCGAACAAGTAAAGATTGTTTGGATGGAACAGATGAAACTGAAAATTTTCGTATATCGTCATTTTCGATTCCGGAAAAATCTTTACAATGTATCGATTCAATGATATTCGCTTGTGAAGAAGGAACATGTCGTCAACCACATTTATTTTCATGTGGCGATGGAACTTGCGTAAAATCTAACTTTGGTTTTGATCCTGTTAGTATTAGACAAAGTATTTGTATAGGTACAAGTCGTAGTATCTACTATCTTCAAGCAATTTTTAAATCAGCCAAACAATATCCGGATGATTGTTATCTTTTATTATTTTGTAAACTCGGTTTTTATTACATTCTCCAAAATGATGCATACAATATAGAAGATTGTTTACATGCAGATTGGTCATCAATAAACTGTACATTAGAACACCTTTCATTTCCTCTTGAACCTATTTTACATGGTTATTTTCAACCGATTTATTTAACTAAAAGCTTGATCGAAAGTGATAATGATAATGGATGGCCAATATATATCTGTACTGATCCAAGATTATGTTTATATTTGCCAAAAACAATAAATAATATCAATGGTTTAAATTGTCGTTCACCTCCAATATTATCCTTCAACAATCCGGGTTTGTCATATCATTTGAGAAAAGATGCTACGATTTGTGAATTAATGGGAAATATTAATGAATATCAATCAAATTCATCATTATTTTATTGTGAAAAATCTCATAAATATATATCAAAACATCGTCTCATTGATGGTATTCAAGATTGTTATTATAATGAAGATGAACTTTATAAAGATAGTTGTTTATTAAATGATACTCAACGTTTTAAATGTACATCAGAAACAAAATGTTTATCACCTATAGGTATTGGCCTTGATCAACCTCAATGCAAAAATAGAGAAGATGAAAATTTTGACAATCAAGAAATATTTATATATTCACGTCTTTGTAATGATATACATGGTTTTGCAGAATTAGTACCAGAAGATGGTGAAACCGATGAAACTAATTGTGAATGGTGGCCTTGTCTTACACCGTACACTCGATGTGATAATATTTTTCAATGTGCTAATGGTATCGATGAATTAAATTGTCCTAATGTTAATTGTAATATTAATGAATTTAAATGTCAAATTATTAATTCATCTGATAATTATTATTGTATTCCTCAAGAATATATTTATGAAGAACCAATCGATTGTATTAATCATGATTTTCATTCTAATCTCTGGCGAAAAATATTTTATTCAAATAATTTGACGTTTAATATTAATAAAAAATATATATCATGGAAAGAAAAGACTTGTTTAACAAAAAATGATATTTGTAATAATTCATTGACTAATGATCAACAATTAATATGTAATATTGTTGAAAAAGAAAATATTCGTATTAACCCTAAATTCTTAATAAATTTGTATAATAATGAAACATTCTGTCGCATGGTAGATCATGATGCTGTCTATAACAGTGGTCTTTATTATTTTTCTACATGGAATTTGGGATATTTACCATCGATAATAAATGAAACATTATCATCATCTCAACAATCTATTAATATTAAACCAAAAAAATCTCTTCAAATCAATACCAGTATTGAATTAATTGAATATTGTAATCGTGGAATTGTTCTATTCGAAGGTAAATCTTATGAAAAGAAATGTTTATGTCCACCTAATTATTACGGTGATCGATGTCAATGGCAAAATCAACGTATTAGTTTAACATTTCAAATACTTACATTAGGTACACTTGAAAATAAACTTTCTATTTATGACATATTTATTTATTTAATTGACGATCAAAATCAAATAATACATAATTATGAAAAAATAAATTATTTTCCAACAATAGATGGTACTACAAAATATAATCGTTATTTACTTTATCCTGATCAACCAAAAAATCCTAATTATACATATTCAATACGTATTGATATTTATGAAAAATTAATATTAAATTATTATGGAAGTTGGTATTTATTTATTCCATTTTCATTTTTACCAGTTAATCGTATTGCAACACAAATTCGTATTCCATCAGAAAAATCTCAATCATTAAAAAAATGTTCAATTCAATGTGGAAACCATGGACAATGTTTTAAATATATTAATTCACCCAAAGAATTTTGTCATTGTGATCAAGGTTATTCTGGTCGATTTTGTCATTTAACATATCAACACTCATGTTCACCAGATTCAATTCCTTTAAATTCATCAATTTGTTTATGTCCATTAAATAAATTTGGTTCAAAATGTTATTTACAACATAAGTATTGTCGATTTAATAATAACCCATGTCAAAATAATGGTCTATGTACTCCTATGAATTATCATATAAACCATAATGATTTTATTTGTTTATGTCCTGAACATTTTACTGGATCTTATTGTGAATATCAATCAAGTAAAATTAATATTTATTTTAAAATCAATTCAATTCCACAATTAATCTTTGCTCATTATATTATTTCACATCATGATAAAAAACATGAAAGAATAACAATGATTAAAAAAATTCCATCTGATCGAAATTCAATTGAATTATCTTATAAAACTCCATTTAATTTATTATTTATTGAATTTGAAAATAATTATTATCTTACTGTAGTACGAGAAAAATCAATTCAATATGAACATATTTCTACTGATATAAATGTAGATAATAAGTGTGAAAATATAACGAAATTCTTAAATTCAACAGTACTTAATTATAAAAATCTTCGTCGATTAAAATATTATCAATTACCATGTGTAGAAAATGCAAAATTAAAATGTTTTTATGATAATGCATACATGTGTGTTTGTGATAACTCACGATATTCAAATTGTTTTGACTTTACTCATAATATGTTTTATAATTGTCAAGGTTATAATTATTGTGAAAATAATGGCAGATGTTTTCAAGATAGTACAACTTATCCAACAACTTCAATATGCATGTGTGAACAATGTTATTATGGAAATAAATGTCAATTTAGTACTATAGGTTTTAGTAAATCACTTGATGTTATATTTGGATATCATATAAAACCATTTATTTCATTTACAAAACAATCCAATGCAGTGAAAATGACTGCATCGATAACAATTATAATGTTAATATTTGGTATTATTAATGGAGTATTATCAATATTAACTTTTAAAAAAGAATCATTACTTAAAGCAGGTCGTGGAATATATTTATTAACAAATTCAGTTATATCAATATTAACAATAATTATATTTACAATTAAATATTTTCAACTGATTGTTTTTCATATGAAACTTATAACAAATATATCATTTATTCATGTTAATTGTCTATTAACCAGGGGCGTAAGTCAGGTGTCAGAGCAGGGGGGGTGCAAGGGGGGTACAACCTTTTTTTTTCTATTTTGGCGACCAAAAAAACGAAATTTTCAAAAGTAGGGGGGGCGCAAACCCCTTTTTTCCTATTAGTTTTCCAAAGCAGGGGGGGTATTGCGCCCCACGCGCCCCCCCCTATTTACGCCACTGCTATTAACTGATGTATTATTAAAAGTTCTTCTTAGTTTTGGTGATTGGTTAATTGCATGTGTTGCTATTGAAAGATCATTAAATGCTATACAAGGAATATATTTTAATAAATTAAAAAGTAAATATATAGCTAAATATGTGATAGGAATAATATTTATATTAATAAGCATATCTTATATTCATGATCCAATATCTCGTCGACTATTTCATGATTATGATGATGAACAAAGAATATGGTGTATTCTACAATATTCAACAAATTTAAAAAAATATGATAAATTTATAAATTTATTTCATGTTTTAACACCATTTATAATTAATATTTTATCTGCTATATGTATTACGATTCAAGTATTTCGAGCACATACAAAAACTAAGAAATCGAATTATAAAAAACTTCTTTTTATTCAAATTAAACAAGATAAATATCTTTTTATATCACCATGTATATTGATATTATTATCTATTCCTCGTTCGATTAATTCATTTTTATTTGGATGTATAGGATCAACACGTAATCCATGGCTATATTTAACTGGATATTATGTTTCATTTATGCCACCATTACTTATTATTATTTTACTTATTTTACCTTCAAAAACATACAAAAAGGAATTACTTTCTATTATAAGAAAAATAAATTTTCTTTCAAAATAACAATCATTGTTTTTCTTTATTAATTATCTATATTACCTCGTTTTCTTTTATTGTTGCATCTACATTCGCTTTCTAAATTTGATCTAAAATAAATAAAGTCATACATTATTTTATTTTATTTGTGATTTCTTTTAAATGGATATCCGTAGTTGTCTTTATATTGGATAAATGATCTGTTAGCGGTGAAAATATCCATTGAATAATACATATGAGAAGATGACACATAGAAAAGGAATAGGAATGAAAAAATTTACATATATGTGATGTGTGAAAGAAGAAACTACTAACGTAAGAGGGAACAAAAGAAAAATACCATGTGGACGAGAAAGAACAGAAAGAAAATACTATATGATATATTCACTCACTATCTTTATTTAATACTATATCCTTGAAATAATGATAATCTTGAGATTTTAAATTAATTTAATGTAAATGGTTAAATTCGTTTCCTTCGTTTTTTCTCAAATAAATTTATTTGAATTAAATATTTTTAGAAAGAAGACTTTTCTAAGTATAGATACTATTTTTGTACCTCATGCCTTTTTGTCTATCATGTTTTTCTAGTAGCATTAACTAATCAGAAACTTATTTGAAAAATTCATTATTATAAATGTTTTCGTATATTCTTTTTGATATTATTCTTCATTTGACCGCATAGAGCATTTTCTAGCGTCGGGTATGTTTTAATATATCAGTATGTTTTTTATGATTATATTTCTTGGTATCTATTCTATAGACGTGATAATCTCTAATATAAAAACGTGAGAATTTAAAGGAAGAATGTGAAGTATACGAATGTGTGCGTATATGGTAACAGACCGAAGATAAAAGGATATACGTTTGTTGTAAAACGTAAAATAAGAATATCTTTTTTTACAAAAAGATATTATAGGTTTTATTTTTAAACAATAAAACCTTTTTATAAAATGGCAAGCGATGGTGGTAAAGACCCAATTCATCCTTCAGTAAGTCTCTGCATTTTTATTCACAATTCTTTAATTTGAAGTAAAATAATTGAATTTTTTAGATTGAGGACTTACAAAAAGAGAAAACCGCGCTCGAGAAGCAATTGGCTAATGAGAGAATTGCTCTCAATGCGGCTACAGACGCCGAACGTGTAGGTGCAGAAAACGCACTTAAACAAACAAAACAAAATCTGTTAGATGTTGAAAAAGAAATACGGGCGGCTCAAAACAAAGAAGATCAAAAAAGTAAGTGTAAAAGTCTAATATATGTACAGCAAACTATCATAATTGAAAATCTGTTTTATAGAATTATTTTTCTTTTTCAAAAATTTAGAAAAGTCAAAACCCATACCCACCCAATCTCCGGAACACCACCCAACCGACCGTTTCCGTACCGGATGGTTCGACCTGGATTAAAATAGTATAATGCCAATCTCGCAAACTTTGCTCAATTAGAAACCGCAAGTATGTCTAGAACCTTACCGCCTTCGGACGCCGATAGTCGTGAAACATTATATGCTTATATCCGAGAGAATACACATGCTTTCAGTAAGTATTTCATAAATTTAGCGATCTTTAAAATCTTAATTCTTTTATTCTTTTTATTTTCTAGATAATACACAATCGGTGAATCTCTGCATTTTTCTTCATAATTCTTTAATTTCAAGTAAAATAATTGAATTTTTTTGGTATAAAAATTCGGAAAAAGAAAAAGCTACTATCGAAAAGCAATTAACTGAACAGCAAATTGCACACGACGCGACTACAGCTGCACGAATGAGTGGTTTCGGTACATCAACTAACTATGATACAAGTGCAAGTGCATCCGGAAAACCTGGTCCAAGCGGTCAAAGCGGTTGCGTAAGTTCCGATGCTCTTCATATAAATCCGGACCATGTAACAAGATCATCGAATGTATGTGAATTAACATTATCATCAATTTCACCAATCGTATCAACATCATTATTAACAACATCGGTAGCTGAATGTGCAGCAGCACCGTTACCGGATCCTGCTCTGCAACAAGTACAGAACCAAATACCAGGTGATGTTAGTCAATATGGCGAACAATTTCTCGATTTTGAACCATCCAAATAAAAGCATATGTTTAAACTTTACATATTTTGTATTAGTATTTTTGCGTTTTGTAATCTATTATTTGTACAATAGTAACTTTAATCAATAGTTATAAATAAAATGATTCCCAATTATATGAATGTTTTAATTTAACAAACTCTTCAAAATTTAGTTATACAGTACATACGCGATTGATTTACAAAGTTTTTATAGTTTTTTTTGTCAACATAAAATAGATCGCATTCATATTTATTTTCATTCAAGATAGATGATAGCATATAATAAAATCTGATTTTTTTTCTACAATCCAACAAACAGTTTTGAAGATTTTATTTTATTACAATTGGCGATCTGACGCATTTGTGATGGTAATGGTCGTTGTCGATAACTATTTTGACATCTATAAACATAAAAGAATAAATAATATTGATTTTACATTTCAAATTAAATATGATTAAATAAATTTATAATTACCGAAGAAGAGTACCACTCAATGTTAGACATATAATTGGATTTGAACAACTATTTAAATTGAATAAAAGACTGAATATAGTCATAAGCCAATCTATGAAAAATAGGGTTAAATAAATATCAAAATAGAATAATAAAAAATTTTTTTTTCATACTCATCGTTTTTTGTGATATGAATTTTTCATGTAAAGTCATTATAATAGATCCAATATAAAATGGTGTTGAACAAAGAATATATGTAAGAACAACAATAAATGTTAATTTAATTGTTTTAAGACGTGCTCGCGAAAGGAAATGATTAGCACCATGACGTTGTTGAGATTTTTGTCCATCAATACTACTTGTACTTTGATTTTTTGTTATATCTAATGGTGAACGTCGAAGACGAAATACAATTGGATACGTCTTATCACGTATATTATGTGATGACGGTTTATTTAAAAATGTAACAGTTGTTATACTTGTACATTCAACAGATGGATAATGAATATGTAAATGATTATTTACTACTTCTTTTGGTGGAATTCGAGGTATTGTTTTTGATGTTGGAATATTACCAGAACGTTTTGATATTCTAGTTGATAATAATTTTGTAAAATTTTTCCGTTTTAAATGATCTGTTGAACGATACATAGAAATATTTCTATTAACTATTATATAAACAGAACTATAACAAAATATTAAAATACATATTGGTAAAAGAAATTGTACAAATATTGTCCATGCTATATAGATTAATTCCCATGTACGATTAGAACCAAAAAAGCTTGCCATACATGTTTTCTTCTGATATGCTGGATGATAAGCAAGACGAAATATAAATAATTGAGGAGATGCCAATAGAAGACTTAAACACCAAACACCTATCATATGAATAAGACCTGAACGATATGTCCATGTATAAGTTGATAGTGGATGAACAATAGCTTGATAACGATCATTTGCCATTACAACAAGACTATAAGAAATAAGAAATTTTCGTAAAACTATACTATATCAGTAAGCTCTATATTTTTCTAAAATACAAGACAATGTTACTTACGTGTAAACTGAAATATATGATACTGTTAACATGAGAAAAGAAACAATTCGACATAGAAAATCTCCACCAAAAAATGTTATTGTTGATTTCCATATAAGCATTGGTAAAACACTGAAAAATGCCACTAATAAATCAGCTATAGTAAGATGTAAAATAAAAAAAGCCATTCGTGTTATATGTCGATGTTTTTTATTTAATAAAATTACTAATACTATGGTATTACCAATTAATGCTGAAATGAATATAGTTCCTAAAACAATTTGTTCAACTAATTTAAGTTTATAATCAAAAAGTATTGTCAGTCCTGGATTTGTATCATTTGTTGAATTCATTACTTATTAAATAATTCAATATAATTAGTTAAGTAAATATAATATCTGAAAAATAAATATAAATTATTTTCTACACTTACTTTTTCATCTGATGAAAGCAATTTCTCTTCTGAATAGAAAATCTAAAAATCAAGGATTTGTTATTGATTTTTCTCTATGATGAAGCATGAAATGGCATTCATATGTAAACTAGTCGAGAGGAAAAAACAAAGATTTTCATATCGATTTAACATTAATAATATTGTGAATCTTCTTTCACGTTGTTCACAATCAATCCTGACAGGAAGTACAAAAAAATCTAGATTCTAATATAGATATATATTACTATCCGTTATATCAATCAATAAAAACTTATAAACATCCGTATACGTCAATACTTATAAAGAATAAAAGCATCAAGATTTGTTGAGTATAGATGGATTCATTGAAGACTACTACTAGCAATATGTGATACTTCATCTCTATTCTTTCTGTTTTTACGAATGTTAACATCTAAATACTAAATATACATATGTAACCAATAGTATAAGTTAAAAAGTTCTTTCGTGTCACAATTATTTGAATAGAACGGAAATTCTGATGAGTAGCATCCGTCGTTAGGATTTATTTTTGAATATAAAAGCGAAGAAGTCGCATGATCCGATTGAGAACTAATTAGCTAGTTTTATATTTCAATTATTTTTTTATCCTTATATTTCTCGAGGAATTCTAACAATATAAGTCAAAAATTTATTATCGGAATGAATGAATCTCATGTTGAATAAACTATGATCATATAATCTTTTATGTCATTACTTTCAGTCTCGATACAGAATTCTAAGGTTTAAAGTATATCATATACTGAAACAGATGTGAAAGACTTCGTTGTTCTCTCATCTTCTTATGTATACATGTGTTCTTAATTACTTTGTCTATCCTCATTTATTATTGTCGTACTATTTACTTTTGTATACGAACCTTCTTCTTTTTCTCGACTTTTAAAAAGTGAATATAACTCATAGAATATCCTAAGAAAAAATATTTTACTTGATCTCCTCTTAGGATAGCTTCTCAAAACCTTTCTTTCCTACGTCATACACTGATCTACAGAATTATTTACTTAAATATAACACTTTATAATAGAATATCAGACAGATCGTATAGCTACTTTCATCTCGTTCGAATGATCAAAGTCTAAAGAATACTATTATATGATATTTTTTTTGTGTGAAGTATTGTCTCACAATACTTCAGACATTCATCGTTTATAACGACTAGCATTGAAGAGGATGGACATTTTTCTTTAATCGGAATCATTAACATCAGTTTGTTGACATGACATAGATCAATTCAAATAAACCAGTCACATTATTTTATGATTATTTTTTTTTAATTATAATACAAGAGACTCTTACTTAGACGAAAATTTTCATACTGGTTGTCACTTACTGTTGTTCAATTAATACGAGATGAAAAGAAAATGGCTATATGATATCTCGGTTAATACCTTTATAAAAATTAATAATATTTATAATAAAAAAATAATAGTTGCAGCTTTTTGTACGTCATTCTATATACGTCTCTGTAAGACATAGTATTCTTAGAGATTATTATTTGTTATTGTTTATGTTTTTTAATTAATGACTTTTCTCGCGTAATGGACTGTTAAAAATAAACAACAAGATATTTGATACGCTCTGCATCATACTAACGAATTACTCGATTGTTATTGTAGCAATTTAACTAATAAAAATATAAGCATCTATGAGATAATTATTTGAAAATTCTATTTATTTTCTAAAGCAAATATCTTGATTATATTTCACAAAAAAATATATATGAATTAAGTTCTTTCTTGCCTTCCAATAAGTTATTGTTGTCCGAGCATTTTTAACGTTTGTGGTGAATTAAGAACTTTTTCTCGATGTTCATTTAATATTGCATCCATACTGGCAAATATTTCACTTTGAGAACGTAAATCAAAAAATGTTCCACCCGATGAATCAAGAGACAAATTAGGTGGAGCATTTCCACTACTAACACTTACAATTTGAGTTGGCTGTTGTACACTACCATCCGGATTTCGATATTTTGGCGTAATAGAAGCAATTGCTTGCATTGCATTACCAAAACCAAAAAAATCATCACTTTGAGCAGTATCAAATGATGATGGTAAATTGGTAACAGATGAATCTGTGTAGGGAACAGTCGTCATTATTATGTTATTCGAAATAAAAACGTGTCTTTAATGTTTATAGATATATATGTTTTGCTTTATGCTTGAATAGTTATATATATATATAAATAAGGCTATAAAAGTGTGTTTATATGTTATTTATGTGACCATGATGAGTCAAATAAGTGAAGTAACTCGTTTAATCGTCAATATTCTATCATGATTGACAATAATATGTAAACAAAGATTTTGATATGTTGACTGATACTACAATAATCAAAAAATATATGTATTTTTTTTCATCCTTCGGAATCGATATAAAATAGGAAGATAATTTAAAAAAATTCCCTGTACTTATATATATCTATTCAATTGGAAGTGACTTTTACTAATCAATAAAATATCTGACGTTGGATATTCTCGTCTTATATCAATCATGCTTTTTACATAACATAAAATATCGTAAAACTGAAAAGCTGCTATTTAATAACATTGATAAATGTCTGATAACATATGTATTTGTTCAACACGTTTCTTTTAACTGAAAATAATTATATTGGATACCGACACTGAACTTGAATATTTAGGTGTGTCTAGTAGTATCTATTGAAAAACATATCTTAAAATTTTTTTTAAATTAATCCATATATTATTCATACGAGATGGAAATTCATCTATTGAGTCAATGATATGTAGTCGGTTGTGAGTTTTCTAACTTTCTTGAAAATTAATGAATGTTATTTGAAAATTATAGACTAAGGTAATTGATGTTAGCACATACTAATATATGTTATACGTTATATTGGGAATGTTTTTTTTATTTTATAAGTTCATGGCAGACTTAGAAGAGGTTCTCACAAGAACTCCTAACTAGCACTTTATTTTTTGAGTTGCCTGAATCAATAGCTAAGACTCATTTGAGTAAAAAAATAGTTTCTAAAATGTTGAAAATTCATCAGTAGACTTAGATTCCTTAACCTCGTAGGTTGTTAATTATAATGGATAAAAAACCAGTTTATAACGTTTCGAAAAACTTAGGATGAATTAGTCATTTTCTATGAAAAAAAACTGTTCCTAAAAGATAACGATTCTCCATATTCAATAGTAATGTTCTTATTACATTATTAGAATTAATACGACTGGAAATTTCAAACTTACATCTTCTATCTTGCATGCAACAGCATCTTCCCAAGGAGATTATATGAAATTTGATCGATTCTCGCAAAAATGAGGCATAGAATAATAGAGCTGATTCATAACGTGCAATCAGTAATTTACAGTAAGTGAAACAGGCTAATCAACGTGAAAACGATGCTGTTTCGTCAATATTCCACGACAGAAGAAATAGATTTTTTTGTTATATTATCTATTTTTCAAATAATCAATTTAAAAAAGTATATCTATAATTAATTCTAACGTTTATTCAAAATAAATAAATATATAAATTACACAAATCAATTTTACCACCATAAATACAATTTTCGATTAATAACTTTTAGAATATAATCATGAAGAAGTTTTTTTGATTCAATCAAATTTTTCATTATTATCATCAGATCATTAAGTTGTTTTGAAATACATAATGAAGATAAAAAGCGAGTATTATTATTAGGCTTTGACAATAAAAATTGAGCTATAGGTTCTAAATCTTGTCTTAATAAGTTAATAGTAAGATTTTCCATTCGAGGAAAAACACCAGTTAATAACTGAATTTTTTCTAATGTGATATTTTTTTTAATTGTTACTTTTGTTATCATATTTGTTTTAGAGACCAACTGAGTTATTGAATTTTGTTGAATTAAATTGAAATGATTTCGATGACATATTATTGAATCAAATTCCAATGTATGAACATTTGATGTAAATTGTAAAAGTTCAATTAATTTTTCGAAAGAAAAACGAGAACATTGAATGGATAATTTAGTAATTTTTTTCAATGGAAAAATGTCATTTAAATCACCTACAATAAAATCACGTGGTAATTCGAAATATTCACAAAATGTAAGTTTAGTTGCATTTGGAAATTTATCTTTAGATTGTTCTATCATATCTGTACTATGAATACAAATATGATCAATTGGATCTTCATTTATACCCCAACAATTTGACCAGAGGTTTTCACCTAGTTGATCATACAATATGTTATCTTTTCTTCTAAAAAGAAACAGAAAATGAATATAATTTAAGACATTAATTTTACCTATATGGATTTCTTGAATAAAACATAGTAGCATCGTAAAACGAACTTTTATGATAATGCCAATTAAAGAACCATTGATGTTCTATCCAAAATTTTGAATTAAATTTATCGATAAGTGTTTCAAATTCTGTATGTTTATTATAAGGATCTAATCCACGAGATGAATATTTTAAATCAAAAGTACGTAAGTTTAATAAATGATTTGAAATTAATCGTTCCCATCGATCAGCATTGATATATTCATTAACATCAGGACCAAATCCATATAATTGTGTTTCAATACTTAAAACTTGAGCTTGACGAAAATAATTAATCATTAAAACTTCAAATTCATCAAAAAAAACACGATTTAATTTAAGACAAACATTTGTTAAATAATTTAAATTTATTGTATCTTTGTCTATTCGATAATATTTAGATTTTATTAGATCACCTATGGATAAACGACGTAGTTGTGGAACATAGGATAATATAATAACAAGTTGATCAATCGAAATCTCATTATTAATAACAAGATATTCAATAGAACTAAATTCATCTGTTGCTTCAAGTAATGATTCTGAACATTGTAATGATTCAATTGATATTTGACAATATTTTAATTTAGATAAACGAAATAGTTTATAATAAATATTATTTTTATCGACAAGCTTATTAATTGATATTATAGTCAATGAAGATAGAACAGGTAAATAAGATAAGCGATTAACAATTGGCTCTATATGATTAGCTTCAATCTTATTTAAAATAAGTGTTGTAAGTTGAGTTAAATATTTTGTTATTGGAAATAATAACAAACATGGATCAATACATGGATTTGATAGTCGAAATGATTTGATTCGATGGGTACAAGGTTCAATAATATGTGTTGAATAATATTCAAGTTTTGATATTGATATTTCAGAAATATTGATTTTAGTTGGAAGATTTGAATGAAGAAAAAGATTTTGAAATCGATTATTGAGATGATAAAAAGCTTCAAACGCATGATAATCAATGAGACAATCGAATATTTCGTAAAAAAGTTCATTTGAAAGATCTTCAAAAGTAGTAATAGGTTCTTTTGATGAACTAAAAAAAGAAAACAGAAACATTCAATAAAACAAAGAAATCTTTTTCTGGACTAACGAATTTGTTTCATTTGTTGTTTCTACAAAAATAAAATAGAATTATATAAAAATAAAAGATAATTTTTACTGTTTCGTCTTTGTTTTTTGTTATTATTATTATAATCCTTTTTGATATTTTTTCGCTTCATCTCAAACTCAATTTAACAAATAAAAAGATTAGTGTTAATTCGTAGAAATAAAACAAACAAATGCACATGGTGCATGTCGTCGAAGACGATATTTCTTTCGACATATAAATGGACAGAACGTGCAAGAAAATAAAATAGCAATTGTGTGAATCATTGTGAACGGTAAATATCTGATCAAAGTGAACTAAACACATCTATTTCTATCTTGTGTCATTCTTTCAAATTTCAAATAATCATTATCAATAAATAAAAGATTTTAATTATTAGATTGGTGTCTATAATCGCTATCATCGATATTTTATTCTGACTAAATAATAGTGTGAATATAGGTGGACGAGAAGGATAATCATATTCAATACATGAACTGATTGCAATTTAAGCAATTATTAGATATTTTTTTTCATTTTTTTTTCTAATATAATTCCCGTGTCCCGAAGGAAACGGGAGTGGACCAAGCTCAACGGCACTGCAGTGTCGAGATGATCCGTGGCACAGGTCCGAGTGAACTCGGGTGATCCTGGCCGATGTCCAAAAATCCGCTTGAAAGAGCCTGGCCTCAATGAGACCAGCGCCGGCTTTCAAACCGACGAGAACAGATACTACACTTTGATCTTAGCCGAAAAGGCCGAGAAGCGATAACTAAACATTCAAATTCAAGTTTCTTTTCTTTCCTGTGTCCACACACATTTCGTTTTTTCACGCATGAGAGAGAAAGAGAATCAGTTATGCTTTTTCGAGAACTTTCACATCATTCAGTATATGAGTCATAGATGATGATGACTTCTTTACAATTTTGTCAATATTATGTGAATGAATTACAATAAAATATTTCAGATCGAACAGGACGAATACAAAAAGTGATATAGACATGACTAGATTACAGTACTGTTCTTTCTTTCTTTAGTTTTGATTTATAGAAAAATGTTGCTCTGGCAGACTAGTGTTACCACCAGTCCGCGCAATTTCGTCATCGCAACATGTATTTGATCGGGAAAGATCTTTACCTCTTGGTAAGTTGTAATAAGCAACTTTTCTCCACACCCTTCAAAGTTCGATATCTACTTTGTCTTTATATGTATCATGTCAAGAGATAGGAAAGAAAGAATGAAATGTGTAAAGACAAAACAGATGTCGTGCTCTGTAGACTTTCGAGAAAAGTTGCTTATTACAAACTTACCAAGAGGTAAATGATCCGACCCGATCAAAAACATGTTGCGATGACGAAATTGTGCGGATTGGTGGTAACACTAGTCTGCCAGAGCAACATTTTTTCTTATAAAACTATTAAAAGAAATCTTATCAACTATTGTCGTTATTCGTTTATGTGTCTAAATATGCTGATTACTGAGAGAAATATCTTTACGAGATGACGTTGTCAATAAAGACCAAATATTGTTTATATCTGAAAAAGTATATTGTTGTGAAATTTGAAAGTAGATGTTAATTAGTTTACTGATTCCAAATGATATCCATCAATCATATCTTCGATTTATTTCTGAACCAAAACCTTTTAGATTAAAAATGAATTTGTAAGCAGAAACCATTTGAATAAGAGAGACTTGTCGATGAAAAATGTTTTGAGAGGACTAAAATCTTCATTTGTATACGTGGCTTTATACATTCCAAAAACAAACTTTAAATCTATGAATAGTTGAATATTAGTCAAGTGACAATCAATAAAGTATTTCTCTGTTTTTTTCTGAATTGATTTATATAAATGTAATGATCGAACGAGTAACAAAACTTTTCATCTTTGAAATTATATTTCAACAAAATGAACATTACCATTTTAATTGATCGTTTAAATCGATAAGAATTGTCTCAGATATCTTAAACAGTTTTCGTTAATTGTTCATCATCAGGAGGATTTCATATCTATGTTCAAGAATATTTTTACCAAGTCGATTATTAATTAAAAAAACAAACAACAGTAGATCGATCAATTAAAAATTTAAGCATAAAATGAAACATAAATCTAAAAGTCAATTTCTAATAGAATAATCTCGGATAGTAAATTAATTACTTTTCTTTGTAGAATTACATAATGATTAGAAATTATTTCTCATTGAAAATACTTCATTCTCTGATATAAGAGTTGCTGCTACAGTATTATTGATGATGTCATAATATAGAACACAGAAGTTATTTTTGTTTTAAACATTACTCCTTTTAAAAATATAATGTTGATTTAATTCGAATATAGTCTTCATTTGTTTATTGAAG